CTCATCCATAAAAAGGCAAAAGGGGAGGGGGGGGGGGGGGGGGAAAGCAGCTTTACAGCACACCCTAAAAGTTAATGTTACCTGTATATGATTATTTATTGCTGCTGGGCAGTCGTTATGATGTGGCTGTGTCTAACTGTTAGGACACTCACAGCTTTTACTATGTGCTTTTTATTGTTGTTTAAATCTAAATAAATAGCTCTTGGCTGTATCAGACCCAAGCTAACGGCCAGTTGCACGGAAGGTGCAGGAGCGAGAGAAGGGGAAGCCACAACCCAAAAACCCACCCTTTGGATTGGTGTGACAGGAGGAGAAGGGTTGATGTCTCCCTCGTGAACCCCTTCAACAGCCCCATCTGACCTGCACTCAGGCTCGGGACCACCACCACAAGTCCCCCAGTGTACCCAAGCTCAGTCACGTTGAACCAGGTGGGAACAGGAACATGCACAGATTTGTCTCCAACTCTGGCCAAGTCACATTCCCACTAGATCTCGAATTTTTTCTAGTCTAAACCTTTGCAATCAGAAAATGACCAAAACCCTGCTCATGTCTGCACTCGCTCTATTGTAAATACACTGAAGTTTCACCTTCTGTGGGCTTTCAAATATACAACTGACGGTGGAGCAGATTGACTCGTTTCTCACTGCTCCCTCACTACCCCGAGCTCCCTGCCTGTAGATAAATACCTTTTCAGAAAGGAAGCCAGTGCAACACGTCTCAACCAGAGGAGCTTCTGTGTCATATGAAATCCAGGCAGGCACCACGGTGCCTGATGAGACTGCAACAAAACCCTTAAGTGCATCAGTAGGCATTCTTCTGCCTGTAGCCTCCTGCTCTACTTATGGATAAAGATGTAATTCAATCACTGCAGCAAATGGATGGCGTAAGCCTTCCATGCACCAAACAGAGACAAGAGAAAGCAAAGTCCGTAGCTCTCTTATTTGTATGCCTAAATATACCTATCTTTGTATTTTGATATTGTAGAAAACTCCACAGACATGTAAGGAAAGTATTACGGCAAGCTTTAACAACGCAGCTATCGATTCAGCCACTAAAGATTTCAATAAAGTTTTCTAACCTATAAAGTCTCAAACGACACCATGGCATGTTTATGCCTTCCTAATTAACTTATTTGGAACTTTACTCATGAAAGCATAAGTATCGCCTTGGTTCTGGATCCCAATTGCCTCCAGGCCACAATTCCAGGACTCAGACACAGATTTGGCAGTACACACAGAGAAAACCCTTACTTCAGGACAGATTCCCGTGTATTTCCACTGCATTTCCAACTCAGCAGCAATGGAATACTGTTTCCTCGGTGAGATGGCCATTAGCAGCCAGCACGTGCCTCTGCTCACTGAAAGAAGATCCATTTCACTGCCTGGGTTTTTGTTTTATATACTCGGCAAGAAAAACATAGATAAAAAATTTATTGAAAAGTCATAAACCCATCTTGTTCAGCTTTATATGCAGCAAAAAGGGAATTTAATTGTTTAATAAACATCAAATTGTTTTTAGTATCCCGGGTGAGTCTTCATGAAAACCATGTCCTTGACACTTAACATGCATTATAAATGTATAGGCTGGTGTTCCCCCCCATGTCCTTGCAATGGATATAAAATGATACTTTACACACACAGAGCAGTTCCTTCAACAGCGGTGCGCTCTCCTTTAAAAAAATCTATCTATTCCCAACAGCACTATTTTCTTAATATTAGAAAGATATAAGAGGTATTTATATAGCTTCCCTATCAATCTGCTCTCAGACCACCAGAAATATAAACTCCGTGGCTTAAAAATTCCATTATCCTCTTTCTAATGAATGAAAGGAGGACGGAAAGACAAAGCCATCAGTTTCCATAAAATCCAGGCTCTCACTAGTGTCTGCTGTAACATTTCTAGATGGGCAAAGGGACTCTCCTGAATGCAAAGAAGCCCTGTGCCCACGGAGACCCTTCTCCTCCTCCTCCTCCTTCTCCACCAGCAGCGACGGCACCCACGGCCTGAGATTCTGGGACCATCTAAGCTCACCGTAAGGCAAAGTGATGTTGTTAGACACGCCTCAGTGAAATCTGGGGGTGTAAAGAAACAAACCTGCAATAAAGCATCCTCGGGAATAAAGCGGAGCCCGCGCCGAGAAGCACGTCAACAGACAACCCCTGATTTAAGCCATTTCTTTTCACAATGCACACCTAGCAAGTATAAATTAACTCACACTTTTAAAAGCCAAACAACACCAGCTAGCTAATTTTATCAGCACTTTAAAAAAAAAAAAATCCGCTTTGTTTTAGAGCAACCTGGTGAACTCGAGCCTACCCTGCCTTGTGAAAGCAGGTAAATACAGAGTAAAAAAAGGCAAACGTGTTAGATGAGATGGGACACTGAAATTTGGCAGGAAAACGGGCAGTAAAACAGCCTGTACTGACCAACAGATTTTTTTTTTTTCTCCCTTCCAGCCTGGAAACCCGAAGAACATCAAGAGTCACACCACCTGGGCTGCAAAACTCAAAGAAACCAGCTCACGCTCTTCACACTTCTCCCAATCTGCTTATCCAATGCACTTCTAATTAGCTAATTGTGCCCGCATTGATCCAATTAACAAGCCATAAAGATCTGAACAAAAGGAGCGTATCCTGCCCAGTGGAGACTCTATTCAACCACGCCAAAACCAGACGGGGAGCAAGACGTGGAGGACAAAACCCAGGCCAAGGCTGTTGGCCACCGCTCCCAACCCTCTCTCCATCCTTGGGGAATGCTGGTGGGAGAAGCTGAAGGGTGGAAACCCCACCGGCACCTACCTCTCCCGTTTAGGAGTGTGGACCGATAGCTGTCCGTTAGTTGAGGCGTGCGGGTTGATGATTAAGGAGGTCTTAGACGGGGCAGAGGAGGAGACGCAGGTGGTGGACAGGTCCAGGCTGCTGTGGTTGTTGCTGGCTGCCTCCTCCGCCGTGTGCGAGCTTGTCACTTCCTTCCAGAGCTGCTGCAGTTCTGTTGGAATCATGCCTGAAACAAACAAATTGGATAATTAAATCAATTAACAGCTAATTCGGGCCGTCTTCAAACAGTAATTAAATCAAAGAGTCAGTAAACAAAGCCTAGTGTTAGTTTTGTGTGTGCGTGTGAGGGTATGTGATTTTTGCGCATGTATTTTTTCTATTTAATACCTAAAAGCTCCGAGCGAACACCGCGCGTCCCCGCCACGTTCCCTGGCGTGTGACACCTGCAACACCTACGTAATGTAAAACCCAGGGGCTGGGGGGTCCACACAACACGTCACCCACCCCAAACTCCACCGTCGTTATAACTATTTTTCGTAATTAAAATTACAGAGGGCCCATTCCCCAAGAACCTACTCGGGCAGAAATCACCCCGAGCTCACAGCACGATGGGAAGCAAAGGTGGCCGAGGGCTACTCTGCAGTAGGCTTGAGAAATTACATTTCTTTTTCCCTTTTTTTTTCCCTTTTCTATTTTTTTTTTAAGGAAAGTGAATACTTTCTAACCTGTTTTTAAAAGAAACGAAGGTCTTGGGAAAAAAAAAAAAACAAATCTCAGCTTTATTATTATGACAACACGAACCACAATATGACTAATTTTGTGCTTAAGTTTTAAATGATGACAAATAGCTTTGTTATTAAATACAGTTTTTATTAATCACTTTTAGACATAAATTATGAATTCATATTGTCTTCCTGAAATGCTTTTCAAATTTTAACAGTCAAATTGATTATACTATGATTATTTCATTAACACACCTATCTTTCTCATTAATTTTGGTTTCTTGAACTGCTCACTTAATTGATGGATGTGTCTACTGAAAAACTGTGTAACTTTCTATACAAGTAACACTATTATTACTGTCATTTCTTAGATCGTTGCTAATGAGCCATTCAAAAGTAAAACGAAAACATAAAATAAGCTTCAAGAAATAATAATTTGGAAAAAAAAAAACAACAAAAAAACAATATAAATTTTTTTAATTGTGCCAAAATGGACAATAGGCTTAGGACAGAGAATTCCACGAATGAGGCAAGTGAAAAGTTTGCAAACTCCAGTGGGCGAAAGCGCAGGCAGCGTGACAGGGGCTCGCGCTGAGATCACGCTTTTGGATAAGGCTCCTGTTTGTGACATGATCAAACAAGTCAAGTTTCTGCCAGGGAAGGCCCTTTCAGTGCTCCCTCCGAGGAGGCCATGGGAAAAAATTAGCAGTAGAGACGCGTCACTTCAAATATTCAGGGGGAAAAAAAAAAAATATAATAAAATAATTAATAAAAGCCAGCGTCTGTGTGTTTTTAAAGAGGTTTCTCATCACTGCGCTCCCAGATCATCACTGGGATGATGGTTCATTGTTTGGGGGGATCGGAGCACCCGAGATATCCTAAGGAAACCTGCCATTTTCTGAGTGCAGAGCAGCAGCTCACACAGGCATCTGCCTCACCCAACCTGAGGTATTGAAATAAAAAAAATAAAAAAAAAAAAATAAAAAAAAAGAAGGCAGTATGCATTATATTCATTTGAAACACATAATAAAAAATGCCAAGGTCTAAATTTAATTTATTTTTGTCATTTAGAATACAATGGATAGATAATCATCTCAACGTGATCAGCCAAACATCTTTACTTTGCTAAACTGTTAAAGATTTTAATTATGCTAGCTTTGGAGAGCACTGGTCTAATGAGGCGATAGACTCCAGAGAATCTAAGTGGTTAAGAACTGTGAAATGAGTCTGATAGGATTTTTTTATATTCACCGTGGATCGTTTGCATATCAAAGAGGAGTAAATTATTGCACGACAGACCAATAACCTTCCCCGCCAATCCCAGAGTAGCATTAACAAAAACAGTTGGTCTCCGGTAACGGTTCACTACAAAAAAATGCTAAAATCCTTAAGTATCTGCAATTAATATATATTAGGAAAGAAGCTTCAATTTATACATTAAGTGATCAGATATTCTTAGGACACATCCGCTTCTCTAAAGCCACGTCATTCTCCTTTCATCAGACCCAAACGCCAATTATATTTTGATGGATTTTGTCCCAAATGAGCATTTAGTTATTAGACATATTCAATTATTGCTTTTCCCCTGAAATTAAACCCCCGAGCAAATTAAACAAAGAGAAAAAAAGGTCAGTACACAAGCCTGTGTCCTGTTTTCCTGTGGCGGGGGGCTATTATTTTCAAACACCTTGCGAAGTGACAGTGTGGGATGTATTTTTAGCCAACGCTCCTGACAGCGCTGTCTGCGCACGAACAATTACCTGTGAGCGCCGCTGACCCTCACGCCACTGTTTACTCCATTGAAACAATAGTGAATAGACTTGTCTGTTGATGATAACATATTGATATGAGACCATATGAGTCGACACCTATTTTTATTTTCCAGAATAAGCAAATAGGGAAAGAATAACTGGCACTTTTTTTTTTTTTTTTTTCCCCCCCCCCCCTCCAGCTGGAAGGCTTGAATAATATTTCCTATGAAGTTAGTGAGTTTTTCTGTAAATATGTTATGCATCATTTTTCTCATCAAATGTGCAACTCTTGTGTAGTTACAGACTTTCTTTGATTTCTCTCCTTATGAACTGGCCCTTTTTTTTTTTTTTTTTTTGCCACCACTCCCTTATCTGGATTTCTGCAGTGTTTTAATTAAAAGGCAGGCTACCACCCTCTCTCCTCTCCCCGTCTCCCCCTTTCTCCTCTCCCCTTCCCCTCTCCCCCTGGTCACTTCTGCATCTACTAATGCTTTATCCCAAGGAAATGCTTGCAAGTGTTACAGCCCTTAAAATATACACACACAAAATATTTATACCTTGCAGTAGATCCTCTAAAAGTCAAGGGGTTTGCTCTAACTTCCTACACAAGTGTTAATTCCTATTGGCACTAATGACAACTATACCTCATATAAAATAATAAACCACCCAGTTGTGTGGGGGAAAAATGCTGGGAGATAATAAGGAAGATTTCAGGCTGGGCAGCATTAAATTAAAGAGTTAACTGTGATGTCACACACGTCTGCACACAACCCGTTGCTTAAAAATGACCACATCGCTGACATCATTTGATTAATAAATAGAAATTTTTTTTTAAAAAAATCCACTTCTTCCTCCTTCCACGAATTTAGTTCTTTTGGAATAATTCTGGGGAGAACTCCTGACTCGCCTGTCAAAGCCGGCAGCCGAAAGGTGTGCTCATTACTCACCCAGCAAAACGGTTAAATAAAATAATAGAACAAATGGTAAAAGCAAGTCAAATAGATCCACGAACACTCGCAATAAATTATGTAATTTACCATTTAACGGTTTCATTTTAACAGCGAGAGCGAAAATTTTAAGTCAGGTTCCCAGAACTGGGCTGCAATTACCGGAGATGGCTACAGCCGGGATGCGGCTCCCTGCGCCCCCGGAATGGGATGGAGATCCCAAACTGCCACATCTCCAGGAGCCATCAGGAACCCAGATGTCTCAGCCCTATTATTTTCACTTACTGGTGATCTGAAGTGTGATTTGCAGTTTCATTTACTAAAGATCTAGCTCCCGCAGCTCAGAACGCTGCTGAAACGGGGGCTATTTTTAAATTGCTGCTACGTACAGATGTAAAATCTAGATTATAGATGTGTCTAAATACAAAGCAGAAAAGATTACACAAATATAACATTAAAGGATGGGCCGTTTCGTGTAAGACAATAGGCAAGCACTAAAAACTAAAATGAAACTAAAATACAGCTTTAAACAATGTATTAGTTCTAAAAACATAACAAAAAAATCACTTATGAAGTAGCATTCTCTCCTAAGAAACATTTATTACTATTACAGACACTTAAGAATAAAAGCAAAATCCTCTTAACTGAATTCACAGCTACATTTACTGGAGGGATGATTTTTTTTTATATGCACATTTACAGTATTTGTCTCAGTCTTGCAAACTGTTCTGAAAACAAAAGGCCATGATATATGTAATTTTTTTTTTAAATAAGAAGTGTCCATTACCAATTATTTTAAACTATAGCCCTGGCCCTTCATTGCATTTTTCAGGACAACTAGTCCCCTTCATTATGAAAGAAAATGTAGGCGCGGGTTTAAAAAATGTATGTTGTGGGGACAGGTGACAGATTGCCGCTCGCGGAACTCAATTTCCCAACCCCAGGTATCACCGGCTCAAAGACAAACAGAGTTGCTCAACCTCTTTGTGTCCTTGTACCTCCATACCCAGGTGACCATGTTCAAGCAAGCAGAAAGTTGATTTAAACCTCATAATGACATCAGTTTTAAGCCATCGTTCTCTCCGATAAAAAAAAAAGACAGAATGTGGTGCCTCAATTCTCAAGTTACTCTTCTCCTCCCGCCACCCCCGGCTCATCTCCCTGCAAGATCCAGCCCTTTCTGCTCGTCTCCACATCCTCCCCGGCATGCAAGCAGGCACCCCTTTAGGTTTTAAATACCTTCCTTGGCGAGGACTAATAGTTACAGTGCCCTGCTAACCATATCAATCAATGCCAGCCCGGCTGAATTACCTACTGGTGTCTCCGATGTGTTACCGCACAGATTACACTTCATGCATCACCACATTCATTTCTTTCACATTACACATGAGCGTGTCTTGTCACTGCCCAATTGCCCTCCTTTGGACAGCTTAACTGATGTACTATACAATGAACCTTAGCGAGCAAACTTAATAGTATAGGAGCTGTGGGAAAAATTAGAAAGGTTGAAGCTTGAGGCCGGTGGGTGTGTGGGAACTGCCTGGGATGCTTCCAACAATCAATCTGAAGCGTAATTAACGCACGTTACGCCGTTTTGCGAGTATAAATGGCATTTTGTCTACATGGCCTTTTTTCCTGGGCTCGTTTCACACTTTCTCCCCATCACACCGCGCATGGACCCTGCCTGACCAGCCACCACCCCAGGCCTGATCCTGCAGCTCCCAGCCAGGTACCACCTTCCCGCCCATCAATCAGCCTCCGACTCCAGCACAGGAATGGTCTGACCAAGTGTCCAGCTCCAAAAAAAAAAGCTAAACTGAGTCTTGCAGAGGGAGGTGTCAGGTCCCCCAAAGCTTAGCCTCTCAAGACAGGAGTTAGGAACTCAAATATTTTTGAGAGCCTCGCAAAAATAAGCCTAAATAAACCACGCCAGCCACACAGCAGACTCCACTCCCTGCTCCTCTCTCCCTTTATCCATGGAAGTTAATATTCACCAGCCACCTCGCTCTCCTTTGCAACTACACAGAAAAAAAGGAGGGTGAAGAGCAGAAGCAATTTTGTCCCGTCCCTCCCGTTTAACCGAACAAAGCTGGATGTAAACTCATTATATGGTTTAGCAACTAGTAGCAGCCCTGAGGCTGCTTTGAAGAGCCCAAATCACTCAACCTGAGCTGGCTCAAGTTGTTGAGGTAGATGTTTAAATTTATTACGGGGCAAGGGATGGGAAAGGCACGATTATTCAGAAATACCAGCATCATCGTTGAAAGACCTGGTCTTCCCTGAGCCGTGCCAACCTCGAACAGTCTGCCTGAATCACAGCAGCCAGGCTGTTAAAATACCCCCAGGCTTGCAGATAAAACCCAGTTTAAAGAATAAAAATAAATATTCAAGCCGAGGAGGAAAAGAGGGAATAAAACCCCCAGGTTATAATCACTCTCAAAAGTATTATGATTTGAGTAGTTAGTGCTTTCAGTGTATCAATAATATTAAAAAAACAGGGATTTCGGCAAAGCGGTAACTCCTCCGTGCACCAGAAAGGGCCCAAGTAACACACTGAGAAAAGGCAAAGCTGCTCTCACACTACCCTCAGCCACGAACCCAGCACCAAGAACCTGTTGAGATGCCTCCTGGGAAGGATTTCAAGCCCAGATTGGTCCAACCAGCAGCTCCCAGTCCACCAGACTGGCCATAACTGTGCAAACAGCATCCGGACTCCAAAGTGCCTGCCTCCCGCTACCCAGAGCGGTCCACGACTTCAGCATCACCCTTCTCAAAAATAATCTTTATAATGCCCACCCTGCCTGCCAGGATTTTTCTGTGCTTATTCCATGAGCTACGAGATCTCCCTCTCTCTCACTAAGTGACAATTGTGTGTGGGTGTGAGTGCATGCTGTCACTTTGCCTGGCAGGTCCCAAAGCCCTCACCTACCTTGTGCAAGGGGCTGCAAAGGCAGAGTGGGTTGGCCAGGCTGGATGGTCAGCAGCCCCTGACGCTGCAAGGACAGGAGGTGCTGCTGCTGCAACTGCTGCATCTGGAGGAGTTGCTGCTGAAAGGCCAACTGCTGCGTAGCCACCTGCTGTTGCTGGGGCTGGAAAAGAAAAAATAAAATAAAATAACATTTTCAAAGATGCACATCCGTCAATACAGAGCAAAGCGTCAACAGGGAGGATTTCCAGGGCGGTGGGTTGGCCGGGCTGGATGGTCAGCAGCCCCTGACGCTGCAAGGACAGGAGGTGCTGCTGCTGCAACTGCTGCATCTGGAGGAGTTGCTGCTGAAAGGCCAACTGCTGCGTAGCCACCTGCTGTTGCTGGGGCTGGAAAAGAAAAAATAAAATAACATTTTCAAAGATGCACGTCCGTCAATACAGAGCAAAGCGTTAACGGGGAGGATTTCCAGGGCTCCTTCTCTCAACACACTTCAACTTCTGATGGCAGCCAGCTGGTATGAAGGCAAGCTAAGGAGCCCACCACCCCGTATCAAAGACCCCAAGGCTTAGGTGCTGGAGGTAGCCACAGGGCTGCAGTCGATTCCCACCTCCAGTGGTGACTTTCATCCTCCCCAAACCCCTCCTGCCATCCCCATTAAAAATGTACGCAGCGTTCCTGGGTCCACGCCACCACGTCCCCCTGCTCCACGTGGCCCCCTCTTTCACCCCACAAGTGGCCACGTTTCAGGGGTGGGTAAAGCAAACCCTGCTGGCAGTGGGTAAAAGTCCCAGGTGATCCTTGGAGGCAAGAGCAGATGTCTAACGTGAGGATCACACCACAGGATCACATCACACTTCAACGTAGCGAAGAACAGCCCTGCGCTGTGCTCTGCTTGCTCATGCAAGGGTTGCCTCAACTGTGAAGGCAGTAACACTGGCTTAATTTATGGTATTTTTATACTTACTCTCCCCTTATTCATCCATCAAGCCCCACAATACTTTCTGTTACGTTGGGAATTATTCTGTGCTGTATTTAAGGCTGCTACTTCTGCACTTTGAAAATTTTAATTATTCTCACTAGAAAGAAGATGGAGTTGCTTTCCTCCACAGGGATGTGAACCTTGAACCTTCGAGGTGTAAGAGAACATGTTGCTTTTCTCACTACTGTACCCGGAGAAGCTTTTAACTACTCTGTTTATCACTTCTGACATAAATAAATGAGAAAAAATCAGACCTTTGAAGAAGAAAAACTTCATCTAATATTGTTAATTAGCCATGACAAACGATGAAATAACATTGTAAATCTTTCATAGAAACAGCCACTAGATTTTAATTACACACATTCATAATTTAGCAAACAACATCTTACTTGAATGTGAGTGTTTAATATGTACAGTACTCCAGGCTTCAGAGTCCTTAATTTTGCTCAGTTAAGGAAGCCTCTAGGTTTTGCTTCCATGCTCATCTTGTATTTTATTTGCTTTGTTCTTTAAAACCCATGAAAGGCTTTGCATTTTGATAAATATCTTTTTATTTATTGTACAATGACAGGAGGAAAACTTTTGTTGTGTAAAACATCAATACATCATGCCAGTGTTTAGCAGTTCCTTGTGCTAGCCAAAAAAAATTAATGTAGATTTCCTTAGTAATTATCTGAGTGATAGAAAGATAATACAGTGCAGTAGTACAATAAATAGAAGGAAATTATCTAATATCCCTAATCTGCTAGGAATCGTATCAAGGTGGAGGTCTTATACACATTATGGCTAACAATTATGGAAAGAAAATTAACTCTTACAAAACTATGCGCTTTCACAAACAAACCCCAGCCAGATCCCAAGGTTTTTGTCGCCCTTCCTTGGCTCCCAGCCAGAGGATCACTGGCCCCATTCCCTGCTGGTGTCAAACTGGGGGAAACAAACAAGAATAATCCACCGGAGCTGCTGGAGTGGGACTGAAGGACACCAGCCAGGGGGCTGGCCCCCACCTTCTCCTACCACCACGTCCCATCTACCTTAACACCGCAACCAACCGCATACCCACGGCTGTACCGACAGTCTCTCTATTTAACTTATTTATTAAGTCCTCTTATTTCCAAATGAAATGTAGGGCTTCAAGAGCACAGTTAAGGAAATAGGTGTTTAGGTCTTCTGGAACGGGGAGAGTTTTCATTTCTCTGCAACAGCTTGCTCAGGCAGATCCAGTTGTTGCAACTATTTGCAAGAGCACCAGATGAAGGCAAGCCCCAGCAACAGTTATATTCAGAGCTCAAGTGATGTTTGCCTCCATAAATATTCATTTTCTAAATATATATAGTTAATATATACTTATCTATATGAGAAATGGTATTACATAAAAATCTGGTTACAGTAAGCTGTGTTTTACCTGTTTGCCACCTGAGTGTAAAGTTAGCATGTTGGGGTTTTTTTATATAAAAAAAAAAACCCAAAACCTTTATATAAATTAACTGATGCCCGTTTGGTTGTCTTCTCAGCTATCCTAAGAAAAGCTCTTGAACACTCTCTACTTTGAAAAGCCAGGATATAAAAGTATACAAGGCCCATTGTCCAAGAAAGAATTTAAAAGCAAGACACGTTGCCAAACTGCGCTCCCCACCCAGTTACCAAACACAGGATACAAGGCAGTTTGTTTACTTCTCACAATTGAATGCATACAAAAAAGGTCTCGGTGCAGTCCTGTTGTCAGGTCAGTAGTCAGTGTTAAAATGCTGAAATATCCTGATAAAACTTGCATTTTTGATCCCCTCCCTAAAGCTTCTGTCAAAGGTCTGTTTTCCTTTCTTAGGTTACTCCCTACTGCCTAACATAAACTGTCACAACTGCCGGAGGACAAACGGCCCCTTTTGGAAAACAACCAGGGCTGCTGCACTGATTGGGATCCTCCTCTTGATCCCCCCAACTCGCCCTGGGGACCCCCCTTTTGCCAGGTGTTGGGGGGGAGGCAACCCCCAGGAGCGGGGCTGAGATCTCGCCCCAGCCCCGCTGCCTCTGGGGGATCACCCTCTGCTCCGACAGGAGGAAAACCCCCCAAAAAACCTTACTGGGGTTCCCTCTGTCGTCCTCCTTGGGGGTCCCATCCCTGGAATCCGTGGGGCTTGGGAGATTGGTGGGGTTTTTCCTCTTTCCCCAGGGTACAACGGGGCAAGGCACCAGCCAAACGCCTTGGGGGACACGGTAGGTGCTCGTTAGCACCGTGTCACCCCGCGCCGTTGGGTTTTGGTAGGAGAAAGAGGGAAAAAATAAAATAAAAATAAAAGACCACCGCCTGCATGTTAATTTAGCAAAAATAACCTCCTTAAGGCTGGAAAAACAGGGCTGAACAAACCCGCGGTGTGAAACGCACGGCTGAAACCGGCCTCCGCTAAAAACATCCGCAAAAATACCTCCCTAAAACCCCAGAAAAAGGCGAAGAGACTTGGCCCCCTTGTTCTCCGAGCAGCTATGGTGTTAAAATGCTCTTCTTGAAACAGGAAGGAGTCCTTTCTTATTGTTGCTTTCGATAGTGTAATATCAGAAGTGTGGCCACAGTAAATCAGTGTGTTAGATATTGAAATGCCATCACATTGTCTAACTTCCCTTCTCGTCTTTTTTAACACAAAGTATTTTTTTTTTCTTTAAGCTCCAAGCCCTCATCTTTGTGTCTGAGATGCTCTCCTGTCTGACAACAGCAATTTAGAAGAGTTAACTTTTATCGTTCATTCTGCTGTGTAACTTTCCCCTTCAAATTTCTTTATCTGCCCTCTGAGCTCATCTGAACTTTCATGTTCTCCCAGCATGCAGGCTTGCATTCAAAACTATGTCTAATAGACCAAATAAGAGGTTAATAAGAAGTGGCAACAGAAAGAAAAAATACAATCCCTGGTAACTGATAAGAATGACAGTGGCAGCCCTTTATTGTTTGTCTTCAAATATAGAGTTAAAGATCTTTAAAAAACTAAATTTTGACGCCTTTGAAAAGAAAGAAGCACAAAATAACAACAGGGGGTTATTGCCTGCCAGCCACAGGGGAGAAGCTCCATAATTCTTATTCTCCCTTTTGAAGGCTGTTAGAAATCTGATTCAAAAAAGCAACAGCAGAAGGAGAAAGCCTCTTGAGGCTATCGCCATTTCCTGTGATCATGCATAATGCGTTTCAAAAGTGGGTTTTTACCAATTCTGTTGATCAATTGCACCTCCTTCATATTCCCTCTTTTTTCTGCTGTGTTTACATCTGATGTGACTCAATGACAAGCGCTGTCTGAGACTGTGAAACAGACCTGTCATGTTGATTTATGGGCGCATCAAACCACGACTTGTCCAAACTGAAGCTCGCAGTTCATTAATTAGAGAGTTGTGACTTTGAAGTCAGCTTTCAGACTGTGGTTTTTAACATTTGGCTTAATTTATATGCTCTTGAATGTGGATCTCTAAGGAAAAAACTGAAATTCCCTTCTTGTCTTTGAACTTCTTTTGACCGCACAATAATCATTTCTTTGTCCAGAGTGATGCCTGCATCCCAGAGTCATTAACGCGCATTGAACTGCCACTGATGAGTAAGCCCTACTGAATTAGAAAAACAGCCAGCAAAACAAAGCTGAGAGCATTCTGCACAGTGATATCTCACAATTACATGCCTTCCCTCCCTGTGCCATTTCCATTTTAATTACTGTTAGTCCTTTAGATTTACATTTTAGACACTTTTTAATCTGTTCCCTTTTTATTATAGTGGCGCCCGTAAGCGCGCTATGGTTAAGGTTGTGTCAGCGTTTCCATTATAAACCCCCTTATTTTCAGGGGTTTATAACTCAGCTGGAAAAATTCACTCTGGGTTGAAACTTGGCACAGGTGGCACGATTTGCCGAAATTTCGATGGGGGGGGTGGGTACACAGACACAAAATTGGTGTGTGCTTTGAGCAGCCCCACTTGCGAAGCGCCGCTCAGGCGCTGCCACCATGGCAGGACACGGCAGGACACGGCGTGGTGTCTCGTGCCAAGAGGCAGCTTTCGAGGATCTCCCCAAGCCAGCAGTGAT